AAAGACAATCATTAGTATATTAGATAGCTAGCTATTCCCTTGGAGGACCTGCCAGAGGTTCTCCAGTAAGCAATGCAAGCAGTTGTCTTTACTACTGTGTAAACACTTGCTTGTGCACTTGTTGTAGACCCTTTGGCTCTACCGAACCTCACCCCGTTCAAGTCAACCTTCAGTCTGAGGAGTTCCTTTCTGTGGTAGGGGACCGAGATTCGTCACACGTTGCTTACTCACTTTGGTCACTGTCACGGACTTGACTGAAGGCACGACCGTCAACATGCCACCTGCCAACACCAACACCACCAACCCACCCCCCCAACTACAACGATGCTCAGGGAGCGAACACCCCTGTTACCATGGCCCAGGTTCAACAGCTTTTGAACCAGACCAACAATCGCATCGCTCAGTCGGAGGCCGAGAACGAACGTCTCCGGCACTCTACCAACAGAGCCAAACTGGAGGCACCACCCAAGTACAACGGCAGCAAGGACGAGCTGGCCGGATGGCTCGTTCAGATGCAGGCATACCTCACCTACTACGTCGACCGTTTTCCCAATGAGGCTGCCAAGGTTGCATTTGCTGCGCACCGACTTGAAGGAAAAGCACTTCGGTGGTTCAAACCAACGCTCAAGGACTTCCTGGAGAACCCAGACCAAGATGACCAGGAAGACTTCACCCAGCACGTGTTCCAGCGTTATGGACGATTCGAGGAAGAAATCCGCAAGGTGTTTGGAGATGTGGATGAGAAACTGCATGCTCAAGAGCGGCTTGCGCAACTCAAGCAGACCAAGTCGGCTTCGACCTACGCCACTCAATTTCGACAAGATTCCCTGCGAGCCGGAATCAACGAAGAAGGCCTGATGCAGTTGTTCTACGACGGACTCAAGGAGGAGGTCAAGGACGAGCTCTACAAGACCGACCGTCCTGACACCCTCGATGAATACATCGCCATGGCCATCAAGGTTGACGATCGCTTGTACGCGCGCAAGCAGCAGCGCAAGGGCAAAGGAAATCCGCCACCAACGTACAAGGCCAATGAGCGAAGGCCACGGCGGGGCAACACGTCATACGGCACTCATCCAGGACGGATGGACGTGGATGCCGCCCAGTCTCAATGGGCCGGGCCAAGCAATGCCAGAAAGAAGGACAAGCCCGATGTCACCTGCTACAATTGTGGAAAGAAGGGACACTTCAAGAAGGAATGCCGCAGTCCACGCAAGGACTGGAAGCCTGTCCCAGGGAAGGAAGTTGCGACTGTCACTCGAGGGGCAAGGGTTACCGAGGTCGCGGCTGCGAGCTACATCCGCAACGACCTCGAGCGCCACTTAAACCCTGTCCCGAAGGAAGGACCGAACGTCACCTACCTGCAGGAGCGAGTGGTCGAGCTTCGAGAACGCAACGCTGAAGTCGACAATGCGGTTCACGAACTCGAGCGGAGACTCGATGAACAAACATGGATGCACAATTCCAGCACGGATTACGACGGACCTCCGACATGGGGTTTCGAGCATGAGACGCTGGAGGGATTGCGCCAACCCGAGACTGAGTACAACGAAATGTGGGAGCGCGAGCGGTGGACGAAGCGCACACCACCCACGTGGGAAGAATACTGGCAACGACGTCAGTACATCAGCATCGGTCAGACCACGCAAGAAGTCGAAGCACAAGGATACGGACCAGACTTCGTCTACGTGGTGGGAGATGCACCACGACTTTGGATGAAGACGAACAACCATCGCTATGTCCCATGGTTCCAATGTGTGGACCATCACTGTCGATACCACTTCAAGGACAAGCACGACTTCAACCATTGGCCGATTCGGGGAACAACACCCCAAGGGTTGCTCAAACCCGTACCACGGACGTTTTATCATAGACGAGGGAACGACGACGACTTGTGGCATGTGGCCAAAGTCAAAGAAGGAACAATCAGAGTGTGGCCACTTCGTGCATGGCCAGCAGCATGCCAGACACACGACAGCTATGAGCTATGCAGGGACGTAACTTGTGTAAGGCACATCGTTGAGAAGGTTCGAGAGTTCCACGAGCGGCAGGCTCAAGGGCGGAGCTCGTACCCAAGACATCGAAAGAGGCGGACGAACTCTCAGTGGGAAGCAGCACGCGTTGAATGGCTCCAGGAGCGTGTCACGCTGGACGATGACCCAGAGGAAGGGGACGCCTTTCCTGAACAAGAGCAGTCGACCGAGCTACGAACCCAGTTGGGAAACGGCTCAGGGCCCTTCGAGGGGCCCGGAAGCGCTTAAACCCTGAACAGAAACGACAGGCCGCGCAGTGCAGAAAGAACTGGCGCAGACGGAAGGCCTACTTCGACCCGCCAATCGAGTGGCTAGGGATCGAGCGAATCTCCAAGGAAGTTGCAGCAACGCACACAGGGAAACCCGACAACCGATTGTGGGTTACAGCACGCTGGAAGGATTTCCAGGCACTTGCATTGGTAGATGGAGGATCACAACTCGACCTCATCTCACCCAGATTCGTCAATCAACTACGAATTCCATGGAGGCCCAAGAAGGAGTCCCACATCGTCACAGGACCATTCGACACACAATGGGTCCGGAGAGAAACAGAACCACTCGAAATCGAGGTGGAAGGGAAAACCACCCAAGTGGTATTCGACATCGTGGACATGGGGCCAGAGAAAGACATGATTCTCGGACGACCATGGCACGAGGAGTATGACCCAGACATCAGTTGGAAGGGAGGTGGCCACCTGCGACCGCGAGACACGCCGTCGCATCCAACCAACGTGGTGAGAGACGCGCAGACGGAGCCGCGGAGAGGTAGTACGCAGGACAACGCGTTACCCACGGGCCCACCGCAGGAACTAAGCAGTGGCAGTGAAACCACGACAGGATCCGGAAGAGGCGACACACGACGATCGAAGCAGACACGGGCAAACAAGGAAATTGCCGTGATCTCAGTCGACGAACAAGGACAACTCGAATTCCAACAGTGGGTCACTGGATTCGAGGCAGCAATCATCTCAACAGAGAACGCCAAGTTTTCGTACTACGAAAATGCGAAGAAGGACGACAAGACGGGACAGGTCCCAATAGAGTACCAGGGACACCCGGCATTTGAAGCAAAACACACGGAAGGGTTGCCAGATCACGGACCTTGGGATCACGAGATCAAACTCAAGGAAGGCGCCCAGCTGAAGTTCTTCAAGGTGTATCACACCAACGAGAAGCAGGATGCAGAATCGCGGAGGTACTTCGACGAAAACCTCCGCAGGGGACACATTCGACCATCAACATCCCCGGCAGGCTATCCGGTTCTGTTTGTTCCAAAGAAGGACGGGAAAATGCGGATGTGTGTGGACTATCGGCAGTTGAACGAGCAAACAGTAAAGAACCGCTATCCGCTACCCCTGATCTAGCGGCTTCGGGATCAACTGGCAGGAGCACAATGGTTCACGCGACTCGACTTGCCCACAGCCTACGCACACATACGGATCAGAGAGGGAGACGAGTGGAAGACGGCGTTCAGGACGCCGTACGGGCACTTCGAGTACCTTGTCATGCCATTCGGACTGACAAACGCGCCCGCCACTTTCCAATCGGTTGTTGACCACGCAATACAACCGTTCCTCGACAAGTTCGCAGTGTACTATCTGGACGACATCCTCATCTTCTCGAAGACACTCGAAGAACATCAAAAGCACGTGAAGGCAGTGCTCGATGCACTCCACGCACACAAGCTCTCAGTCAACAAGGACAAGAGCGAGTTTCATGTCAAAAAGATGGTTTTCCTAGGCTTTGAGATTTCGCCAGGAGAAATCCGCATGGAACCAACCAAGATTGAGACCATTCGGGCATGGCCAAGGCCAAGGAACACCACGGAAGTGCGAGGGTTCATTGGATTCGCCAATTTCTAGAGAATGTTCATCAAGAACTTTGGCGACATCGCACGACCTTTGCACGACTTGACGAGGAAGGACATCGAGTTCCAGTGGAACGAAGAACACGAGCAGGCATTCCAGCGGATCCGCGATGCCATCACTGCGGACCCAGTACTTGTGCTGCCGGACCCCAGGAAGCCATTCGAGGTTGAGACAGATGCATCAGACTATGCGATCGGAGGACAACTAAGTCAACGGGATGAGAACGACAAACTCCACCCGGTTGCATTTTTCTCGAAAAAGCTGGTCGGACCACAACTTAACTATCCAATTCATGACAAGGAGTTACTGGCCATCATTGAAGCTTTCAGAGAATGGAGACCCTACCTCAGCGGCACAACACACCCGGTTCAGGTGTACACGGACCACAAGAACCTCCGATACTTCACTTCCACGAAAGAACTGAATGGACGACAGACTCGATGGTCTGAGTTTCTCTCAGAATTCAACTTCGTCATTCACTACAAGAAGGGCTCAGAGAACGCACGCGCAGATGCACTGAGCAGACGGTCAGATCACTATGGAAACAGCATAGGAACATCACCATCACTTTTCCAAGAACAACCAGATGGGTCACTTCGACATGCTTCCCAACCGGCGGAGGATTGCGATGACGCTACGCCTCCCCAACCGCGAGAAGATTTCGACACACAGAGCCATGCACTTAAACCGCAGAGCAGCCGTTACGACGCTAGCAGCTCGCAACCGCGAGGAGATCGCCGTGTGAGCATCCCACATGTTGGAGAAGTTGGAGCAGTCTTCAAAGAACAGCGGTCGGAACGAACCAGCTGTGAAACACCAGATGAGCAGCGAGAACTCATCAAGCAGATCCACGAGTCGAAACTCGGAGGACACATGGGAATCACCAAGACGGTAGCTCAAGTGAAGCAACACTACACATTCCCATTGATACGACAACGGGTCGCAGAAGTCATCAGTCAATGTGACGTATGCAAAAAAGCCAAGACGGCGCGACACAAGCCGTACGGACTCTTGCAACCTTTACCAGTGTCAGAACGGCCATGGAGCTCGGTGACGATGGACTTCATCACCAAACTGCCACTCTCTAAGGACTCAACAACAGGAGTGAAGTACGACAGCATTCTTACGGTGGTGGATCGACTCACCAAGTGGGCATACTTCATCCCCTACAAAGAGACATGGTCGGCGGAGCAACTGGCGGATGTGGCCCTACGACACGTCACCTCGGTTCACGGATGGCCAGAGGAATGGATTACGGATAGAGACACCAAGTTTGTCTCGAAATTCTGGCAAGCATTGATGACACGCTCCTCGGAACAAACAGCAAGCTTTCGACAGCCTACCACCCACAGACGGATGGACAGACGGAACGGTTGAATCAAGTTGTGGAGCAATATCTAAGGTGCTACGTCAACTTCCAGCAGGACGACTGGGTTACACTCTTGCCAACAGCACAACTTGCATACAATACGACACCCACGGAGACAACCAAGATCTCACCGTTCTTCGCAAACTACGGCTACGAAGCGGACTTACGAAGGGGACCTGAAGTCACAGTCCCCAGGGCAAGAGTGAAGGCGGATCAGTTACACACACTTCACACCACACTCAGGAAGGAACTCGAGTTTGTCAAAGACAGAATGAAGCAGTACTACGACAAACACAGGCTCGAGGGACCTCGCCTAGAGAGGGGAGACAAGGTCTACCTCATTTCACGGAATTTGCGCACGAAGCGACCAAGCAAGAAGCTGGACTTCAAAAAGATTGGACCATTTAAGGTCGACGAGCGAATTTCAACATCCAACCATCGACTGTCACTACCAGCATCGATGAAGTTACGAACAAATGTCTTTCACATTTCACTTTTGGAACCAGCACCCAAGAACGCCAAACTTGCTAGGGACGTCGAGGCAGAAGACGGAGAAGAAGAATGGGACGTCGAGGAAGTTCTGGATTCACGAATCACGGATGGGCAATTGCAGTACCTAATAAAATGGTTGGATTTCGGCCCAGAAGACAACTCATGGGAACCAGCTACGAACCTCCACTGCCCTGAGAAACTGACAGAGTTCCATCAGAGAAACCCTGGCCGACCAGGGAGCCCCCAGGCAGGAAGTTGTCGAAAGAGCCCGAACCATAAGGGAAGGCACCGTTGAGCTCCCAATCCACAACACCGAAGGCGTCAAGGGCTTGCGCCTGCCCGGCCAACTCCTGCTCCTCCGACATCGGCTCTGGAGGGTCGGACTCGTCCTCCTCCAAGCTTTCCAAACCGCGGTCTCGCAGCGACGAACCGGCCTCAGCCAGCTTCTGGCGCTGTTGGCGGAGTCGCGAGATCCGACTCAGAGCTTCGGCGAGCTGACGTTCAGCATCAACGATTTCTTTATCAACCTTGTCGCGGGCCGACATATTCGCAATCACTATTTTGAATCAGTAACAGGAAAGAAAAATACCAACAGCAAAAAACACCCACAGGCACCAGCGACGTTCGGACCACTGCACTTCTTCCCCATGCGGACACAGGAAGAACACTTATTCGAACCCGCCACCATAACGCAGCGCCTTCGAGGCTTCGCGTTCCAACAACGTTCGCAGGGCATCTCGGATTCTTGTCCGTCACGCTCGATTGAGTTAGCAACAGCGCGCCGTTCCGAGGCACGATCACGACGAGGCCTGCGGGCTGCGGTGTCAGCCATAGCGCGGGGAATGAAGAAGCAAGGGAAATTGACAGCTCACCAGGACCTACGGTTAAGGGGATGTTGGCGCTGAAGAAGGACCACAATAATGGCCAGGTCTTTCGGGGCGAAAGACGTCGAGAGGGAGCATCGTGTCACGGACCAACCATATAACCCGGGCTGGTGGAGCTATGCAGTAGACCGGAGCACCAATTAGGAATAGGTGCCAAAGGGGTAGCGAAGAAAAGAGCGCGCCGCATGGACGCCCATGGTCGCCGGCGAGCACAAGCGTCCAAAAGAATAACCAGAGGGAGGAAGCTGTATATAGTTCACGATCTCTACGGCCTACGGGCATCACGATAGCTTCCTCAGTAAGCAATGCAAGCAGTTGTCTTTACTACTGTGTGAACACTTGCTTGTGCACTTGTTGTAGACCCTTTGGCTCTACCGAACCTCACCCCGTTCAAGCCGACCTTCAGTCTGAGGAGTCCCTTTCAGTGGTAGGGGACCGAGATTCGTCACACTGCGATCAATCCGACTATGATCAATCCGACTGCCTTTCCGGTACTGCTGCCGTCAAGTAATCGATCCGGCTATCGCCGGAGACTGGGAGCAATGCCAGCGACGCCAGCAACGCCCACGTGGCTACAACAGGTTCCCGTACCGCCAGCGACGCCCACACAGATACAACGTGCCTCCTCCTGGCGCCCCGGTCCTGCTACCGGTCAGCCGCAGATCCCACCCGCTCCACAGCAACGGTCACAGGCCTACGGCAGGCATAGGCAAAGCGGAGGAAGAGGAAGAGGGCCACCGGCGATGAGGGACGTCCCAAAGCAACGCAGCGCAACGAAGGCTTGGAATGAGAGCGCAAGGCAGGGAGGGCGGGCGGCTGACTAAGGAGGTCGGGCCAACTGTTGTAAATTTGAGCAACCTTTAGTAAAGTAGTGTATTTGAGCGATTTGAACCATTTGCAATGGGTTCCAGTACGTTGAATAAAACTGCAGTAAGATGGGTTCTCAGAGTCGGCGTAGAAAGATGGGAGCGGATGCCTACAATAACCCTAACCCTCATGGGGTACTAGTGCCCCAATAACAGAGTGCTAGTGCTCCCCTATCAATTGCCCAATAAAATAACTATTTATCTACAATAGTAATCTATACTAGTATTTGATTAACGTACTTGCATAACGAGTTGCGCAGCATAACGAGTTGCGCACTTTTCTTGCACCTGCATTGCTTTGTATAAGTCAATTCAACCACAATACCTCTAATTAATTGAAACTACTCAGACTCGCTTTCATCAGACGTCCTTGCAACTACCTGACAAGTTCGTGCATTATGGCCAGGCTTCTTGCAGTTGCTACAGAGCCGAACGTGTGGCGTAGCCGCAGTACTACAACCACTACTCCCAGACGTTTCCTTACAATCCTGACCACCAAGTCCCTGTTCGGCCATTAAAA